TTTGGAATGGAAAGTGCGAAATACGAATGAGTAATATAATAAATAAAAATAAAATAAAACAAAAAATTAAATAAGGTAAAATAAGTAAGTAAATAAAACGGAATAACCAAAAATTGTTAAAATAAAATAGATTCAATAAATAAAATTTAAAAATGAAATTAAGTATAACTAAAAAAATAAAACGTATAAATTGATATTAAATAAAACAGGTTAAAAGAATTAAAATAAAATAACTTAAATGAATATTAAATAAATTGATGTAAAACAAAATAAAATATATAAAATAACTTTAAATTAAATAAAAAAATATAATAAAAATTAAATAAAAAAAATAAAAATGAATCAAAAAAAAAAAAAAAAAAAAAAAAAAAAAAAAAAAAAAAAAAAAAAAAAAAAAAAATAAAAAAAAAAAATAAATAAAAAATCAAAATAAAATAAGATAACATAAAATAAAATAAAAAATTAATTATATTAAATAAAACTAAATATAATAAGAGAAATTAAATAAACTAAAATGAAATAAAAGATAATAAAATATAATGAAAGTGTATTAAATTAAAGAATAAAAAAAAAATAATTTTTAATTGTATTAAAATATAATAAAAGAAAATAAAAATATATAAAATAAAATAAATTTATTTTTTAATTACATAAATAAATTAAAATAAACAAATAAATAAAATAAAATAAAACAAAATAAACTAAAATAAAGTAAAAATAAAAATAAAATATAACATAAATAAAGTATATTAAATTTAAAATAACTAAAAAAATTTAAATAATTTTTTTATTATAAAAATATATTAAACAAAATAAAATAAAGAAATAAGAAATTTATATGAAAAAAAATAAGCAATAAATAATATAATTAAATGAAATTAAGTAAAAAAAGAAAATAAAATAATTAAAATTAAATAAAAAATATAGTAAGATGAAATAAAATGAAATGAAATATAAAAATAATGTTATTTTGTTCGTAAGAATTAGATTGAAAAACATAAACAAAACCAGCCCACAAGCAATTACTAATAATTTTGAAAAAAATAAAAGAAATCTAAAAACCGATTCCCAAACAAACGTTTTAATTTGCATTTCACTCGAAACAGTCAGTGAAGTGGTAAATTATTTCAATTGAAATTCCTCAACGTAATCTAACGTGTTACCTCTTTTTTTGGAACAGTTCGCAAGTCTATGAAAGAAATAGTAGGAAAAAGAAATATAAAAAATTATATTCAAATGAATATGCAAAATGTTCGCGTCAGAAGTTCAAAAAAGTTTATACGTATATGCATATATATATACCGTGATAAACGATTTTCTACAAAGTGTTGCAACAACATAAATACGCTCTCACCCACACTCTCTTAGTTGTTTTGCTGCTCCCATATGTGGTGCTCACTGTGGTGCATTTTCTACCATTGGGTGCTCATTATGAACTGCTTAGTGCTCATATGTATGTATGTATGATGATCGTTCCGCATTTATTACTCACACGATGACACAAAACAAAAAACAGATAGCTCAAGAATTATTTAAGCACTGTGGGATAATTTTGGCATGGTTTTGTGCTGAAAAAATTTACTGAAATGTTAAATAATTAAGAACTGGAACATATAAAGTAAAATTCTATCAGTTTTTAAGATATATAATTGCACTAAGAACAGTTACTTTTATATAATTATATTTAAGGTTATGTTAATATGTATGCATAACAAAAATTTCTCGATTTTCAAGGAAAACGTTAGAATTTAAAGTGTAAAAATGATGAAATATCGAAAATGTCTTTTAATAAAATTATAAATATATTTTCAATTTTATAATTCGAGTATTTAATGGAAAAATTAATATTAAATAGTCGCCAAAATGTAGACAACATTTTACCGCTCTTATTCTAATGAAATGTTGCCTACATTAAGGCTAAGTTTTCTACAAAAAAAAATTAAAAACTAACTATCATCTGATCTTATCCTCGACTCGATAGTGTGACTTTCAAATTTTGTACTAAACAGAGCGTCAATATAATTTTAATCCACTCGCCACAGATTTTTACTTCAAAATTTTAATTTCATAAAAAGTTCGGCTTAACCCACAGTACACAGCGTTTTGTGGACTTCAAACCTTTTGGTGAACTTTCTCTCAATCAATACAGCTGATTTTGTGAATATGTTGTTTTGATTGTAGTGTATAAACAACAACAACAAACAACTAGATTGACTAAGAATTGTTTGATTGTGTGAAAGCTTTTTTGAATAAAAGTCCATTTGGCATGTTTATTCATAAGCGAGAGCTTTAGAACGTATGGAAGCAAAGTGATGGGTAGTCAGGCTCTCACCAATCTCTCTGTACATTTATTCTTTGTCTTTTACTATTGAAAATGTTTTGAAAATTATGAAATCACAATACTTGATATTTTCGGGTGTAAAGTAGAGAATGAGAAAGTTTAGAAAAAGAAATCAAATTTTATGTTTTATTAAAAAAAAGAAAAGTTTTTGTTGGAAATTAGGAGAAATTTTTATATTTTTTTCATTGAGGTTTAAGCGGGTCTCAACCTTTTAAAATGTTCCAAAAAGAACTAAGAACAGTCTGAAGGGTAAATTGGGAAAATCACCGGAATTCGAAAATTCACAAAATGCAAATTGTGACCGGATTGAGTTAGCTCTTGTCTAAAGAAGCATAACGCTTGTGAGTTAAGCTTTACTCACTGAAAAGTTATTAGACAACATCTTCAAAAGTTTTTGGGGTTGATTTTCAAGATTCAAGATGAATTATCATTAGACAGCAGATAGTTCCTGTTTATGCAGCCTACTTCGAACAGGACATCTGGTTTTATGAGGAGATATATAGCTCCTAAGTGCGTTATATATATATTTGGTACCTTATAACTGCCGAAGCGATTTTTGGTAGGGCTCCTCCTTCTATTTGTGATATGAAAAAAGAATGGAAGCACCTTTAGCTCATAGCAGCCTCCAAACGACCAATGGATTTTGATGAGAAATACACTCGGAGGGCTTGACATTCTCCGCCGAGGGGCGATCTAGGTCGAACCAGGACTGGAACCCTGGTCATCAGAATGACAGTACGCCATGTTTACCACTCGGCTTGCTTTACATTCGGTTTAAGAATGGAACACCACTTCAGTCTTATAGTGGTTGGCCTGTCAATAGGCCATTCCGTCGACCCCATTGTACAACACATTTTCGACATCCATGTCGAGTTTCATGTTGTGAATCGTCTCTGGTTGGTTGACGGAATAATCAGGTCACCGGTCAACATGCCGTGCCTGTTTGGCAGTCGTTGAGTATTTTTTTTTTTACTTCTCCATTGAAGTGTAAGTTGTTTCTGAGCTACAAATACTGCGATTTCCATCAGCTCATTCCTTCCTTTCAGTGTTTGGCGGCAAATAAAAATAAAGTCAGGTGCGGAGTAAATGCATCGGCAACTTTCAAAGACGAAATATTCTTATCCATTTTTTCAAAAACTCCCAAATCTAACCCATCGGATGCTCTCATCGTTAATGCCTTAGGCTTTGATAATTGTGGGTTGCATGAGGGCTTTACATCTCAATTGCCTACACAGTTCAACATAGCACATTTTGGCAAGAGTGATTCTGCTTTGGATTTCAGGGCGCTTCTGTTCTTGTCCTGCGTCAGTTTACACAGCCGTATAGGTTATGCGTTGATACCAAATTCAGACATAGCAACGTAGAGGCAGCCATCCACTTTCTACTGGTTTTTTTTCAAGATTTGGCGCATGGTGAGTTTCTGATTTATGGTTTTTTTTACCAGGTCTAAAGCCACATTGATAAGATCCAATCAGTTTTATTTTTGGCGATGGGATTTAGTATTTCACACAATACGCTCGATTGGGCCTTACGGGCGATATTGCGAAGGCTTTCACCACGGTAATTGAGTCACTGTGGGGTTCACTTTTGTGGTTTGCATGACATATCGTCCGTCTTTTACAACATGATTGATCTGGTTGTGAGCTTTTCGTTTTGGAGACAGAACAGACATGTGGCTTGGTGAATTTTCTTCAACTGACATCAGGTACTACATACAATCATATTTTGGCGATGTCGCGCAGCCTCAACCCATTTGGGTATGTTTCATCGTGGAGTCTGAATTTTCCGAGATTTGCGACTCAGATACTTTCTTGGTTCAACCTTGGGAAATTTTTCAAAAAAAAAAAACCGAACTAAAGTAGTTGAAGGTAGTATTTACTAAAGTTGCACATTCGCGTGTTGTCTTTTTTAGGCTTTAGTCACCTCTAAAACTATTGCCGCTGCATCGACAACAATGCATTAATGAGTCATTCAAGAGCTGCTGATGCATACTTAGTACTGACGGTGGGCCGGTGCGGGCGTCGGGCATTGTTGGGCATATACTAAACAAGTGTAAATTAATAAAAAGTTGTAGCATATTTTTTTTGTTTTTTTTTTTTTTACGCCGCTACTCATAAGCTAGTACGTATACACAGTTCTTTGTTCTACTCACGGCATCAATACCTTTGGTTTTTTTTAATTATTTTAAATTCTTTTACTTCTTTATTTCTCTCCCATTTGCTTTTGCTCCCTTTCATTGTAGTTTATTTTCATAAAGTCTTTCGCATTTTACTTTGAACTTGTGTGCGTGTTGGTTGAAGCTGAGAGCAAGTTTCTCTCTGTGCAAGTTTTCTGCGCTCACGCTTTCGCAAAGCAAAGAAACAAGAGCAGAGATAAGTCACACAGCTGTGCCGAGTTGTCTAAAGAAATGCAAAAAAAAGCTCTTGTGACTATCTCTATTGTTGTTGTTAGATGTTTCATTTGACTTTTGTAAATTATTTAATTTTTTTTATTTATTTAAATTATTTGAAAAATATAAAAATTTCTTTATGCCACTTCCGAAAAATTTACACAGACTTCCTTGGGGGTTTTTGTTGAGATTTTGAATTTTTTTTGCTTTGCTTTACTGTTCTTTTTTGTTTTTACATTGATGCTTTGCTTTTGTTTCATGCTTTTTTTATTTTTTATTATGTCTTTTACTTTGCTGTGTCTTTACATGCAGTTCTCTTTATTTGTTTGTTGGTCATTCTGTTTCCTATTCCTCTTCTTTAGCTTCAGCTTCAGCGTCGTCTGTTTTGTGTTCTGTGACTTTGCTTTTTATCAATGTTTTAGTGTTGTTTTGTGTTGGTTGTTAAGAATTGTGCAAGTCAAAAAATTAATTTAAAACGTTCGTAGTTCCCCTAACGGTAAGACGCGCTAGCCACTAGCCGTTTGCTGTGACGAGTTTGAAATAAAAATTGATTTACGTAGAATAAATACTAGAGATTCTCGTGCGATAAGTGGAAAGTTGCTGGTAATAATTAATGAGAAATTTAAATAGTAAATTCAAAGTGAATATGGGGGTTTTCCAGTATAAATTTCGTGTAAAAATATTTATTTATAAAAATATAAATTAAATAAAATATTTTTTTTTCGCCAAAATTTACTGCCTCACGCTGCCAAAGTGTAAAGTGCATTGTTCTAAGCAAATTTTGTGATAAATAAAATGCTATCTACGGCTGTTTCGAGTTCAAAAAGTTAAATGAAATGAACTTTTGCGTTGCATTGAAAAAAACAGTGTGGCATAGAAGAGTGTTGCATGCGCACGCTAAAGTGTTTTCGTAGTGAAAATTTTGATGACAAAAGCCAGCAAGTACGTTCGTAGTCAGCGTTTAGTTGTCATTAATAAATATAATAAATGTATAAATGTTGCACAACAACAAAAATATAGAAATTATATTTTTTTTCTTAACTCAAAACGATTTAATCAACGTCACTGTAGTTGTTGTTCTTGGTAGACACGGCTGCTGGTTTAGCAACTTTGAAGAAAGAATTTCATGTTGTTTTCTCCCCTTTATTGTGAAGGTAATTTACATATATATGTACATATGTTTATATGTATGTAAACAAAATCTAAAACGACAAAATGCAAAGTGAAAGCGGCTGGCGTGTGGCGCAAAGAAGAATTTTTTAATTATAATAATAAAAGCATAAAAATAAAATAAAAAAGAAATTAACGGTGGCAAAAGAAAATAAAAACGAAAAGAATGTTAAGGCAATAGATGGAGATAAGATTTCTAAAAAAAAAATTAAAACGCAATTGCTGCAAAAAAATTCAAAAATTTAAGACACGGAAATTATAAAAAAAAAAACAAAAAAAGAAAGCTAAAAGAAACAATACGAAAAGAAAACTAAAAAAATTAAAATATTACGATAATAACAGGTAACAAAAACAAAAAAATTAAAACCTAATTACAAAAATTAATTGAAAAATAATTGATTACAGAAACAAAAATAAATAAAAATAAAGGAAAATATAAATTAAAATTCGTATTTAAAAGTAAATTAAAACATAAATGCAAAATAAAAGAAAAGAAAAATTAAAATAAAGTAAAATAACTAAATTAATAAAAAAATTAAAAAAATGCAAAAGTAAAAACAAATAAAAAAAAAAATAAAAATGTTAAAAGATGTTTACAAAAATAAAAGAATATTAAAACATAAAAAAAAATAAAAAAATTACAAAAAGAAAAAAAATCAGAATAAAATAAAACTAAAGCAAAATTACAAAAACAAAAGAAAATGAAACTTAAATTAATTAAAGAAAATAACAATTAAAGTACAAATTTAAAAGAAAATTTTAACAAAATTACAAAAATAAAAGAAACTAAAAATAAGATATAAAAACCAAAACAAGTTAAAAAATTTAAGGAACTAAAAAATTCAAAAAACAGAAAATTAAAAATAAACAAAAAATGAAATTAAAAAATAACATAAGCAAAAGAAATTTAAAATTAAATTAAATATAAATATAGAAATAAAAAAACGGAGAAATATTAGAAAAATATTAGTAAAAAATTAAAAGATTATAAATAAAATAGCAAGTTTACAAAATATAAATAAAACTAAAAAGATATTTTTAATTAAAACAAAGGTTTTTTTTAACAAGACTGCCAACTTCTTCGGCGAAAAATTAAAAAAAATGGCAATAAATATTAAAAAAATTGTTTACCAGATACGGAAGAAATTTGAAATTTTCGCTCTTTGATTGTTTATAAAGCTAGCCGAAATAGCAAAATATAATATTAATCAAAAAATTTCAAGTAAAAAAAAATCCAAAATTTGAATTTTAAGAAAAATAATTTTTTACATGATTTATTTTTTTTAATAATCAGCTCTACAACAATAGCAACAATAATTAAGACACTACATTTTTTATTACTAATATATCTTAATTAAATATATTACAATTGTGATTTTTGTAAAACAATGAAATTATGATTATAATTTTTTTATTTAAATTTTTTTATAGTCAGCTCTATAACAAAAAAAAAAAATAAGAATTGAAAGAATACACATACATTCATACATTTATATCATTTTTTAATAATTAATTTTTTTTTTCAATTTGTATTCTATTTTTTTATTATTTAAGAATTAAAAACCATTTTTTCACTAATTTATTTAAATTTTTTTTAATTTGCTTTTCTTTTATACACTTTTTTTTTAGCTAGAGTTCACTTAAAAAAAGCACAGCTTAAAATGCCGTTAATTGCATATTCATTGTCTAAAGGTTGAGACTTGTTTTGTTTCGTTTCCATAATGTTTCATTGACACACATAACACGCTGCGTTGAACTTTGAAATCAGTGAATGTTTTAATGAAATTCAATTTCATACATACATACGCCAATACATACATACATACATACGTAGGAACAAATGTAAACAAAGAAAGCAGCAGAGGAGTGTAATAAAGTCAGCTGTTTTCATAAGCAGAAGTAGGTAAAAAATTATGAATGAATGTTTATTAATTAAGAGAAAATAAAACAAATAAATAATAAAAAAATAATAAAAAATATATTTTATATTGTCTATTAAAAAATAATTGCAGGAAAAAAATTTCAAATAATAATAATAAAGAGAAGTAATAAAAAATTCAATAGTATTAAGGGTTTTTAAAACCTATTAATAAATTAACAAAATAATATAATAATTATAATAAAGTTACTAAATAATATTAAAATTTATTAAGTCACTAAAAAAATAAATTAGTAAAATGTATAAAAAAAAACATTATTAAAATTTGATGAAGAAAAACAAAATAAAATTATTTAATTATTAAAACAATATTAAAAATATTAAAAAATATAGATACATAATTATTAAAATGATAATAAATTGACAAACAATTTTTTTAAAAAAGTAAAATTTTATTTGTTGATTATTAAATTAATAACAAAATATTTAAAAAAAAATGTATTTTATGTAAAACTAATATATTTATTTAACTTTGAAATTTATATTAAAACTTGACAAAGAAATTTATTTAAAAAAAATTGCATTATTATTTGATTAGTAAAATTTTATTAAAAATTGACAAAGAATTTATTAAAAATGATTATATCAAAATAATAATAAAATGTTCAAAAAAATTTAATTAAAAGAAAAAAATAATATATTTATTTAATTAATAAATTTATATTAATACTTGAAATTTGTTTAAAAAAATATAATTATTTAATTTGTAAAATTTTATTAAATTTGGCAAAAAATGAATTAAAAAAAATAATTTAATTTAATTTTTAATTTCAAAAAATTTATTAAAAAAATTAATATTGTTATATAATTATTAAAATTATATTAAAAACTGACAAAAATTAACAAAGAATAAGAAAAATAAAAACAATAAGAAAAATTTAATCAGTTTGAATTAATTGAGAATTTAATAAAAATAAAACTTAAGTTAATAAAATATGATTGGAAAATATTATAAATTAATAAAAAATAAAAAAAGTTATTTGAGAAAATTAAAAAAATAGCTAAACAAAGTTTAAAAAACTTACTAATTAAAAATTAAGATAATAATTAATGATGGAAAATTTAGTTAAAAATTGAAATATATAAAAGCAAAGATTAATATTTAATATAAGACTTTAATCAGAAATATTATATAAGGTTTTTAAAGATAACAAAAAATATAAATAAAAATCTTCTTGTGTTTAAATGCAAAGAAAAAAGGGAAAATATAGAAAGTGAAAAAGTAGCAGCCAGATTGTGAGCAAGCATTAGAGCAAAAGTACAAATCACAAAAACCAAAAAAAAAAAAAAAAAAAAAAAAAAAAAAAAATAAAAAAGAAGAAACAAACGTTATCTGTGCATATTTATTAGCATACTGTCAATAAGTACGTTAAAATAAATGTGCCTCGGTTGGGTCGCTAAAGATTTGCGTGGTGTTTTAATGCGCCAGTGTTTAAAAAAAAAAAAAAAAAAAAAAAAAAAATAAATCAGCATATCGCACTCATAGAATTTTCGTCGAAAACCCTAAAATAATTGCGCTGACGTCAGCCACGGTGGCGCGACAGCACTTGCACTTACCTATATATATGTACATACGCATATACTGATATGTATGTGTGCGTATGTATGTATTTATATGCATATGTATTTACAAGTGCTTGTCTACATTTATTTAAAATACTACATTGTATTGCGCAGAATAAATCGCAACGTTTAACAACGTATCGTTGGTTAAAAGGAAAAAAAAAAACAAAAAAAAAATAATTTATTTAATAACAATCAATAGTGACTATTGCAAAATAGAACAGAAAAATTAAATAAAGCAAAAGTAAATAAAAACTCGACTAAACGTGTCAAAATCCAAAGTAAACGAAAGTAAACAATAAGAAAAGCTAGAGAAAAAAAAACAAAATTGACTTGACAGTGTTCAAAAATTGATTTTTTTCTGTTGTTGTTGTAGTTTTATTATTATTATTGTTGTGAAATGCACTAAAGTTGTACTGCATTGACTTATGAGTGCAAATCTGTGACGCGCTGCGACAGAGTGACAAATAAGGTGGGTAAATATTTTGTTCAAATAGTCAAACATTTACAAATAATGCCCACATATTATATACATATGTATGTTTGCATGTATGCATGTAATTGGTTTCAAGTTGAGCATTGGATTGTTGTAAATATTTACACTTGTGTGATAAGGGAAAAATTTTGAAATTTTCTTCCACAACTTTAAACGATGTCTGATTTGGAAAATCGAAGAAAAACATAATTTTTTTTTAAATATTTTTTAGATCATAGAGAGGTATTTCATCCAATGGTTAAATTAAAACAAGAAAGTAAAGTAGCCTTCGGTCATGCCTTAGACTTTATACTTTTTATAAATATGAACTGATTTATGGTATTTCATTCAGATGGCACTTACCCCAATAGGTTAATTGTGCTACCGCTGTAAGGCTTCGGCCTTCACCTGTGATCTTATCCGGTCTAGGACGACCAACCTTTCGTTGACCCAACCCCGTTTGGATCAGCTGGTAACATTGGTCTAGGTACGTCCACCGAGCAGCTCCACGCAGCTGGTCTGCTCCAAATCCGGACGGATCACTTCTGCTGCGTATACCACTAACGATTCCACCATTCCTCCATTGTGTTGGAGTCGTCTTAAGGTATGCTCAGGCCTTGAGACGCATAGGGAGAGGTCTGCACACAATGTAGCCAAACGCTAGAGCTCTAACGGTATCGCGGAGGTTCCCGCAGTAACTCGTTGCCCTCTTGGATACTGACCTGATGAAGCTGGCTGAACAGATAGACGATTCTACATTCTTCACCATGAACTTTGACCGTTAAAATGACGTTCTATGTATAATTTTGGCTATTGGTCCGATCCAACTTCGAGCCTACGGACGTCCGAATGGTGGCACACACATTAATATAAAAGCTTTTTTTTTTAATTAATATAAATAATTTTATTTATTAATGTAACTAAACTTTTAACCTGTTTTCTATTTTTTCATATTAATTTTGCAGATTTCTAATTAATTTTTACTGACGTGCCTTGAAGCAATTCTGCAGCGAGGCGCCGCCACTGCGAAAGAGAAAAATATAATTATTTGCAAGGAAAATCGCTAACCAAATCGATAAATAAACGCATACTATGTACAAATTGCAATTGTGGTCAAAACAAACACAACAACAAAGACAAGAACAAAAACAAAAACAAATTTCAAAATTAATTAAACGACCAAAACAGCAACAACATCAGAAGCAAGAACCACCGCCTCAAAGAGAACGCGACGATTTGCGACGACTGCAACAAGAAAAACAAAAACAAAAACAACAAAACACACGTGTAACAAAAACAAAACCGTTGGCGAAAACAACAAAAGTGTGGTTAGCGAACAAACTTGATAAGTTATTAAGCACAAGCATCAACGGTAGCAACATCAACAACAATATTAAACACAAACATTGGCTATTGCTCTACATTTATAGCATTGACTTTGTCGCTTGCGTCTATCAGCAACAATTGCTAGCGATTAGTAATTTATTGCATACGATCACACATTTCCTGTTGAACGGACGTGCTCAACAGCTGATCGAGAATACATAGCAGCAACAGCAGCAGCAGCGGCAGCGGCAGCGAGCAGTGATATCTTAACGATTGTACGAGCACAAACATACGAGCACGAGAACACAAAACAAACGAGTAGCGCCTGCGCGAGCAAAAGACAGCGAAGAACAGCCATAATACGACGCAATAACGGAATTTCTTCGACGTCAACGGCCTCGTTAATTTACGGCGAAGACAAATTAAAAAAAAAAATAAAAATAAAAAAGAAATAAATAAATATTTTATATACTCTAGAAATATAAACAAAACGCGCGAACGATATACTCACACACATACACACACACGCTGTAACAGAGGAACAAATTGATAACGGAACAAAGCTGCAGCTGCGTCATGAATATCGATAGTCCGATTTTTGTGCCGCGCAATATGGCGCCAATGAACTCTATGCCGGCTGTGACGCCGCTTTCGGTGGCAGAGCCAAAATCGCCGAACGCCTTACGTACCTTAACGTTAGCCGCTGCTGCCGGCGTCACTAATGGTGGAGTAGCTGGTGGAAAGAATTTGGATAACAACAACAACAACTTTGGCGGCTTCTGGCCACCTTTCTTCAACAATCCGGCCACATTCTATCCGCGTGCCATGAATAGCAGCAACAGCGGCAACAACAACAATAACTACTTGCAATATTGCCAACAGCAGCAACAACAGCAGCAACAACAGCACTACGTGCACAATTTTCTGCAGCGTCAGCGAACATTGCCGAGCTTTCACAGTCACTGGACACAGCGGAAATTTGCGAATGCTGTAAACGTGCAGCGACAACAACTGCAACAACAACACAAACAACAACAACGTAAAGAAAATGCCATAACACAATTTTCGGTACAGCAGAGTCAACAACGGCGTAAAAAGCAGAAAACGCAACCGCAATCTTTGCAAAAACAAGAAACGCCGGAACAACAGCAAAAACAACAACAGCATGTGAGTTTTATGAAAAATGCGGATGTCAATAACACAAACACAAATGATATGCCGCCGCTGCCACCGACGATTGCTATTTTTTCGCCGCCAAAAATGCAAGCGGCCGCCACAACAACAAAAGCAATAACAGAAACAGTAATAACAGCGGAAGCATTGCTGTTAACGAAATCAGCTGACGCAATGGACTATTTCAATAGTGCGAATATCAACAATAACGTCAACAACGACACCAACAAAAATTACAACAACTACGATATTGATATCTCAAAAATTTCCACAAATACGCGTGACAACAGCAACAACGAAACGAATGACAACAACGTCGCCACATCGCACAGCGTTGGCGATGCCAATATGACAGCACATCCAGCAGCAACAACAATAATAACAACAACTAACGACAATACCGCACTGGCATTGCCAAATCAATCAACGCAATTAACCGTTGATGTTGAAGAGTCGGAAATGTCAACAAAGAAAGGTGAGTATATGAGTGTTGTGACCTCAATTGAACCGTTATACATATCTATTTACATACATATGCACATTACACTTTTCGATGACTTAATTTATAATTGAATAACTGTGTATGGGATTTTGGTATTCGAAAACACTTACAAACATATATATATATGTAACTTTATTTCACAAATTCCGTCTACTGAAAACTTAATAACACAACGATTGGTTGATATGATTTTTTTTTGGATGGCGGCCACAATACCCGAGTCGTTGGCACCGCGTACCATAATTCGGAAAGTCAGAGCTCGAGTGCTAAAAATAAATTTTTCTAATCGCGATCGCAGGGACTGCCAACCTCTCCGAGTGTATTTCTGACATGAAAATCAAAGCTCCCTTTGAAGACGGCTTAGAATAAACTGTAGATTCATCTATATGCACAACTAAATTAGAGAAGGAACTCGACTGAAAATCAATTCAGCGATTACAAAGCGCCAATGAGATATTTGAAGCTGAAAATTATGTAAGTTGACACGTCATTAAAAGCTAAATCGGCGCATGTGTTGGTTCTATTTGAAAGAATTTCTCGCGTTTCTTGAGATTACTCGATCTTCTGACTTGTTATGGCTGGTGCATGGAGTTCCACGACGCCTCTCAAGAAAACGCTTTGGAAAGAGACGTGGATCGACTTGCTGTTAATGACATTCACTTTCACATAGCAGTTGCCTAATGAGGTGCTGGGTGATGTATAATTTAGCCAAGTGGATAGCTATGCATGCTATTAGCCGGCGCACCATGATTAAGAGAGAAAAATATCTAAAAAAAAATACTTTTTTCAAAGTGCTGAGAGATAGCAATAAATCAATCAGCGGTTTGTTTACGAGTACAACTTGGAATTTGGAACGAAGAGAACTCAGCCGATCAACTGTTTTAAGGCGTAAATTTTTAATTAGTTTTTTTCCAACTTACGTAAGACTTCCTGCGATTGGCCAGTAGAGATCCTATCGTTAAAAGCATAACGTAAATGGAAAAGAGCTTGGAGTGGTTTACGGAGCTTGGAATAACCCCTGAAGCGATTTTCGGTCGACCTTCCCTTTCACTTTGTAGTGCACGTCTTAAGGTATTACCAAGATAAAGAAGGATCTAAGGTGTCTGTGTGTGAACTGTCCTGTTCAAAGTATTTGACATCATCAACCATTCAGTGCCGCTATCGAACATTGAGGATTCCTCATTAGTGCCGGGGTTGGAACACCCCCTTAGGACCGTGACATGAAACCGCATGATATTACCGAAGCATTACCTGTACAGGATGTTAAGGACTATAACTTTATGCTCGCAATAGACATTTTATTTATGTTCAACCTCCATCCAGGCACATCAGGAAGAGAATACTAGACTATACCGACTCAGCACCATAAACAAAAATAGCTGAATTGACGACTTACCGACAGGCTTTGAATGATATTTCTCAAAAGTGAATCAAATCTTCATGATCTCTCTTCCCGCGAACGGCAGTCTGAAGATCCAAGTGCACACTTTTGCAAATAATACGACAGCAATTTAGATCTAGTTATTGTAGTCGACTTAATTCCTACCTATCCAGACGATGTGAACTCGCACGACACTAAACAACTCCTAAAACCCTATCATCTAAGTTCCCCCTTTCCCTCTGGTCTGAATCCGTTGAAAGAGTTCATTTTCTGGAGTTCTTGTTAGATGACCTCGATGACTTGGCTAGTCTCGCCTGCCTCTAAACAGTGTTAGTGAACCCCTTATAACAACAACAACAACAACGACGACCAAAACAACAACAATTTACAGTTTATACATTTAAGAAATACGCTCGTAGGGGCTAAGGCTCGCACGAAATTAGAGAAATTGATGTAAAAATTAAATTCGAAATTTTCGAATTTTCACTGATCAATCGCTTCAGCCTGAATTAGGAAGTTTAACCACCTATTCGATTGAAAAAAATAAATAATTGAGATTTAATAACTTGATGCCTTTTAGCGCCTCTTCAATGCCCGCATTACTTTTTTTCAGTCAAAATAGACAAGTGCTTTTTTATTTTTATTTTCATTGCCGAGGATTTTCAATTTTTTGCATATATTTTGTATATTTTGTTTTTATTTAATCTAATTTCCTTTTCAATACTTTCATAGGTAATTATTTCCTTGACTTACTTATCTATTTGTTGTTGATTATTCGCTTGAATTTTGCCATTTCTCCAATTCACTTTAATTTGATAACAAAAACCAAATCTAAATTACTGCACACACTTTTTTGCTCACATACAGACATACATACACCTACACAAAGAAACAAATTTTCGCAAACAAAAAATTAGAAAATAAAACTGAAAAAAAAACACAAAATGGGGTGGTGGCTCTGACTCAAGGTCAATTGCGTGGCATTGAACTTGCAGTTGTTGGTTAAGGTTGTTCGCTATTTTTTTTTATTGTTTGGTTGCTTTCGAGGTCAACACCCCACCGTCAACAGCACCACTACAACGAACCAACCAGCGCCGGCTCAGCGTTCAATGCCATGCTGCCGCTATACGCAAACAGGTATGTCGCAGAAGCCGAAAAAGTAGACGAGCATCTACGAAAGCGGGTGGTAGAGCGCAAGGCATAGCTGAGAAGAAAAGAAGTAGACAATATTAATAGTCATAATAGAGAAAATAAATATGGCATATAAGAATTCGGTTGCGCGGCGAAAAAAAGTGCGAAAGCTTAAAATAGCAAATACTAAAAAAAAAATAATTGACAAAAAAATGTTAAAAATTTTTTTTTCGCTAAACAATCTCAGAAAAATCAAAAAAAAAAAATAAGAAAAAAATTAAAAAAGAAAAAAAATTGAAGTAAAGAGAAATCATTAAAAATTTGTTTTTTTTTAATTGTTTAAGAGCAATTATTAAAAGAACAAAAATTAATCAGAAAAATATTAAAAATTAAAAAAATATTAAACATTCCTATTCGATGTTTTGAGTTTTTTTATTTTCAAGTCTAAAATTTCTAATGAATAGAAATAAATAGAAACGTTTTATTTCTAATTTTTTAAATAGAAAAATTTAAGTAAAGAAAAAACTTTGTGAGGAAAAATAAGAAATAGTTTAAAAAATTCAAATATTTTTTGAAGCACTTTTCTTAAAAAAAAACCAGTGCAAAAAATAACTAATTAATTTAAAAGAAAACTAAAAAAATGGGGGAAAATATTAAGCCTAAAAAAAAACAAGAAAAAATCAGACAAAAATACCATGGAAGGGAAGCGTTTTGTGTGCTGCTTTCTTAATTTTTTTAAATGGAAATAATTGAAAGAATTAAAAATAAATGATAAGGGAAAATTTTGGATATGAAAAAATTTCAAATTTTCTTTTCAAATTATTAATTACTAATAAATTATTGAAAAAGTTTTATTTTTTAATTTATTTAAAGAGAAAAAAAATTATTAATATAATAGAAAAAAAACATAGAAATTCCAAGATTTTTTTCAAGCACAAAAATACCAATAAAGAGAAATAATTGAAGGAGATTAAAAAATATGAAAATATCTAACATTTAAAGCAATCTTCAAATTTTTGTTTTGAGTCCAAAAATACCAACAAAAAGATATTATTTTTATATCTTCTTATTTTCGAACCTAAAACTTTAAATAAAGAAATATTATTGAAATTTTTTGGTTTTTTTGGTTTTTGAATTATTGTTTTTTTTTTTTAAAGAGCACCAATTAAAAGAAAAAAAATATGAATAAAAAATAAATTAATTAAAAAAACCTTTTTCATAAGCAAAAATATCAATTTAAGATTTCTTAAAAATAAAAGAAAAATTCAAAAAGTTGTTTATACTTTTTTTTAAGGGAAAAAAATTTATAAGCAAAAATGCAACTTTGAAAAATTTGTTTGTTGTAGTGTTTTTCCAGTCCAAACTGAAAAAGAGAAATAATATATTTTTTATTTCTTTTTCATGTTTAAAAGTATTAATATAGAAAAATTATTGAATATTTAAAAAAAATTTTTTTTTTTAATTGAAGGATGTAAAAATTAAAAGAAAAATATTCAATTTTATTTTTTTAAGGTCAAAGATATCAACAAAAAGAAGTAGTAAGACATGTATTTTTATTTATTAATTTTCCACTTTCAAGTCAAAAATTTCGAATAAATAGAAATAGTTGAAATTTTTTTTTTTTAAGTGTTTTAAGGCAAATAAATTAATAATAATAATAAAATAAAATATAAAAAAAATTCAAATATTGTTTCTCAAGTCCAAACCTATCAAAAAGGTGAAATAATATAATGATATATTTTTTATACTAATAAAATAATTTTTTCATTTTTAAAATTACTAATAAAGAGAAAATATTGAAAATATTTATTTAGGGAAATAATTGAGAGAAATTAATTAAATTAATTCAAAAAATACAAAAAGTTACAAAATAGAGAAATAACTACATTTCTTTTAATTTTTTTAAATAGAAATTATAGAAAACGTTTTTAAAAAGTTTTAAGCAAAAAACAAGAAATAAAAACTTTTCAAATATTTTTTTTCTAAAGAAATAATACATTTTTTTTGTTTTAAAATTACTAATAAAGAGAGATAAATTAAAGAATTAAATATGAATATATTTTCATTTTATTTTAAACCGAAAAATATTGACAAGGAATAAAATTAGTAGCGGAGAATTTTGACAAAAATTGTTAAAGTCTTAAAATATCAATAAAGATAAATATGTAATTAAATTATTTATAATTATTAAATTAAAATTATTTTAAATTATTTTTAATTGTTTATTGAATTTTTTCTCTGCTTCCGAAAATATCTGCTAATCCATCAAAATATATGCAAAAGTATGGTAAAAACTCGAATTTTTCTTTCAAAATAAATACTAAAAAATGCTCAAAGTTTACCGGCTGAGTGTTCGGTGCGCGAGAGGGTGTGGCCGACGTATGCCTTATTAGCATGACAGTGTGTTAACGGTAAAAAGAGAACAAGTCTTCAGCAGCTGCAGCTAAAATTTGTTTAGATT